AGTTTCTGGATGTAACACATAGAATTCTGGACCATCCTGCACAAACGAACTGCCTATTTCCTTTAGGTCTGACATATCCAGCATATGCTAACCTTGCTCTGCACACACAGTAGTCATGTGCCCAAGGTGCATCCCTGTTGCAGCTCTCCTTTTTGCGCTGACTGCAATGGTTATGTTTAACTTCTAGTTCAGTAAACATGCTAACAACAACTTCTGCAGGCATCTCAGTTGCTCTGCAATGTTACCAGCAAATCTTACATTTCCCTCTGTCCTCTAGCCCTTCTGCAAATCTGTTTTCTTTACAATCTGGAGAGTGGTGGAAGAGGTAGGATTCATCCTTAAGCTTGCATATGGAATGACACAGCTGCCAGGGGGGGGTATTTACTCCTGTTTCACAAGTTCTACCTCTCCTTGTATCTCTGTAAAGAATGTAGATGATAATGGAGGAAAGAAGTGGTTATGACAGGAAGAAATTATGGATAAGGAACTAGACATGGTGTCCATTTGAAGGGACCCCTTCACTCAAAGAACCTCTCCAGAATTGGTGCAAATACTTAAGGTGGACACACAGGACAGGGCACATGGACAACTGCAATTCACAAACCTAAATTTCCAGGCCCTTACACAGTACTACACTATACTACTGATACTATAATAGTCTCAACACTTCCCAACATTTATGTTCTAATTATCAATAGACAAGAAGACTTCTTTGATACTCTTTTTCTTCCAGCCTGCGTTGTGTGTGGTAGAAAGTAGTCAACCGGGAACACAAAAAACCCACAGATTATGCTCTCATAGTCACTACCATAGAATCACAGAATCATAGAATGGTTAGGGTTGGAAGAGACCTTAAAGATCATCTAGTTCCAGTCCCCCTGCCATGGGCAGGGAAACCCTCCACTACACCAGGATGCCCAAAGCCTCATCCAACCTGGCCTTGAACACCTCCAGGGATGGGGCATCTACAACTTCTCTGGGCAACCTGTTCCAGTGCTTCACCGTTCTCAGAGTGAAAAATTTCTTCCTAAATCTACCCTCTTTCAGTTTAAAGCCATTGCCCCTTGTCTTATCACTGCATGCCCTTGTAAAAAGTCCCTCTCTAGCTTTCCTGTAGGCCCCCTTTAAGTACTGGAAGGCTGCAATAAGATCACCCCGGAGCCTTCTCTTCTCCAGGCTCAACAGCTCCAACTCTCTCAGTCTGTCTTCATAGGAGAGATGCTCCAGCCCTTGGATCATCTTCATGGCCCTCCTCTGGATTTGCTCCAGCAGCTCCATGTTCTTCTTGTGGTGGGGACCCCAGAGCTGAATGCAGTATTCCAGGTGGGGTCTCACGAGAGCAGAGTAGAGGGGCAGAATCATAGAATCATAGAATGGTTAGAGTTGGAAGGGACCTCAAAGATCATCTAGTTCCAATCCCCCTGCCATGGGCAAGAAAACCTTCCACTACACCAGGTTGCCCAAAGCCTCATCCAACCTGGCCTTGAACACCTCCAGGGATGGGGCATCTACAACTTCTCTGGAATCACCACCTTGACCTGCTGGGCACGCTTCTTTTCATACAGCCCAGGATACAGTTGGCTTTCTGAGCTGCCTGCGCACATTGCTGGCTCATGTTGAGCTTCTCATCCACCAGCACCCCCAAGTCCTTTTCCTCAGGGCTGTTCTCAATCCATTCTCCGCCCTGCCTGTACTTATGCTTGAGATTGTCCTGACCCATGTGCAGGACCTTGCACTTGGTCATGTTGAACTTCATGAGGTTTGCACAAGTCCACCTCTCAAGCCTGTCAAGGTCCTTCTGGATGGCATCCCTTCCCTCCAGCATGTCCACAACACCACACAACTTGGTGTCATCTGCAAACTTGCTGAGGGTGCACTCGATCCCACTGTCCATGCCAACAAAGATGTCAAACAGCACTGGCCCCAGTACTGACCCCTGAGGAACACCACTCGTCACTGGTCTCCACTTGGATATTGAACTATTGACCACAACTCTTTGAGTGCCTTCTCCATATCCCGGGTAGCCAGGTCCCCCATTTCCTTCTGGAGAGGGCCTATGTTTTCCCTAGATCTCTTTTTTATCACTGACATATCTATAGAAGTTTTTCTTGTTGCTCTTGATGTCCCTGGCCAGATTTAACTCTATCAGGGCTTTAGCTTTCTTAACCTGATCTCTGGTTGCTCAGACAATTTCTTTGTATTCTTCCCAGGCTACCTGTCCTTGCTTCCATCCTCTGTAGGCTTTATTTTTGTGTCCTAGTTGGTCCAGGAGCTCGTTGTTCATCCATGCAGGTCTCCTGGTGTTCCATGTTGTAGAATGTGCAAGAAAGACAAGAATCTTCAAGACTGGTGTCTTAAATGAGCTGTCTCCTTACTGATCCCATCTACATCCTCCTCTGGCAAATTAAATATTCCAATGGCTTTTTTGGATTTGGCTCTGTGTAAGTTGTTCTACGTACAAATGAGACATTTATTGCTTGTGGAAAGCAGATCTAACAACACTCTTCCTTTTTCTTGCATTTTTTCTTACCGTAAATTTGATTTTTGACAATTAATGCTGTCTAATTGCAGCAAAAATTAAGGCCTCAGATGTGGAGAGGGGGAAATAAAGTTTTATTAAGTGCAAAAATGGAACAAAAAATGCAATATAAATCACTGAAATGATCCATTACTTCAAACCAACTATCATGTGAATTCACTAATAAATTGACACATACATGATCAGGCAAATCAACACATAAAAGTCATATTAGCTGTTCCTTTTCTCTTGGGACTGATAAGCAGAAAGCAGGCATTTCCAAGCACGGATTAAAGTCAGTAACTCAGGATATAAGAGCAGTAAGAGCAACATCTGGTGTTAATATGAGCACACATATCCTTAATTACCCTTGTCTCCCTTTACCTGCTTTGCTGGCATTCAAACAACTTTAGAGTTAAGGCCATTTAGCTTTCGACGTTTCTTATGTATAGTCCTCTGTTATTCTGTAAAACCTCAGTGTGGTCAAATTCTGTATGGTCTCACAATATTCAGGGTACAGCTTCATGAGGTACAGCAGGTATGTGCAGCCATATCATCTCTCCAAGCTGAGGCGAGGGGGCATTCACGGCAAATTCAACCTCAATTTATGGTAGTTGATTCTCATAGAGAATCTGAGTCCAGAACTTTTAACAAGCCATGTACAGTACCGTATTCACATGCATAGTATAACTCATTTGACACTTGTAAGGTAAAACGTTGATGACAGCGTACGGAAAACTATGTGGCTGAGGAGCAAGTTTAACACCTCAGTTAAGTACCAGGAAAGTTACTAACTTTTCTGTCAGCTGTTTGGCGAAGAAATGGATGTGCCAAATATGTCCAATGTCATGTCTGAAGTAGGGGTGATCATTAGTCCTGCAGGAGAATGTTAAATCTGATCTATGATCACAAAATCACAGGAAACACTGGTAGAGAATAACAGTCTTGAGAAAGATTTAGAAATATAAAGACAGATGTATCTACAGAGCAGAAATCCTCTTCAGTAAAAGCTTAAGCCCGAGAACGGTTTTGCCTAAAGATGATGTTTCAATAGCTCTTTAGTTGCCTGACAGAAAGAAGACCTCTTGGAGCTGATCTGAAGGACACTGCAGATGCATGCCTTATTCCTTTGTTCCTTTTCATCTGCATGTCAGCCTGGCAACTGTGTTGTCTCCTTTTTGTAAATCCACATTTAGCCTTTACTTTTAACCAAACATCTGTCAGAAACTATGCTTGATTACAGGATACTTGACAACAACAAGGTATTTAATTCTCATGAATCTTGAGACATTGCTATGACACCCAGCGCTCCAATTGTGTTCTCAAGTGCACTGAGAAGGTAATGGAGCTCTCACTACAGCTGCATGAATTAAGTGTCAATGTCAAAGAGATGCCTCTTCAGAACTAGCATTAGTTAAATGCAAGACAATGATGAGAGTGGGCTGAGCCTTGATGGTCTCCTAGCAAACTGACAGAAGATCTTCCAAAATGGTTCTCCAATGATTTCTCCCCATTAGTACTAGGCAGAAATATGGTTTCATTTTATCCAGAAATTTATGTCAGATTGGGATCTTCTGCCGGGAAGTTAATAATAAGGGAGGATTACCATGGTTTTGAATGGCATCACTAAATTTGTTTTAAAAAATAATTCTACATTCCAAAGGGTTAGGAGTATATGTTCATACCAAAGACCTCATTTTCACATAAATTCCCTGCATCCCGCAGCTGAAGGCAACTCAGGGTATAATGTAGTTATCAGTGTCCATAAACAAAATACTATTATCTCTATCTCATCCTTCTCTTCTGCCTTCCAAAAGGAGCATTTACTGTATTCTCAGTGAAATAGGAGGATGGAAACTGTCTTTACTGTTCCTCCAAATAACTCCCACTTGGCTTGTCTAGATCATGTACAAGTCAGTAGTGACTACTCTTAGCCCAATCAAATCTGCTCTCTCTTTCTAACCTTCCTTTTCTCTGTTTTCACTTGTTTTTTATGCTTGACATTGCCCAAAGCCTGCATGGCAAGCTCGCTAGGGCGGGAGCCATTTGGGTCTACTCCCGAGCAGGATCCTTAGGAAATACCAAAATATAAAACCAAGAGCATCTAAATAATACTGCTTTGCAAATACTGATATATTTATTCAGGGGTCTCAAAAAGTATGCAAGTATAACTAATATAATTCTAAACTACTGGAAAATGGGAAATCAAAATGTTTTGCATTGTGCTTTGTGCCATGTGGTAAGTCGTAAGCAGAATCAAATTTCTGCGACTTGTGCAGATCACTGAGGACACTCTCTCTGGGATAGCACTTAGCATTGGGGTTAACATTGTCCTAGCCACTGTAACAATTTCTACACTCTTCTCAGATCTGAGATTTGGGCTCTTACAAACACTATCTTCCGAAAGTAAGTGTGAAGTTTGTGTTTTCTAGTAGTTAGCAAAGTGTGCAGTTTTCTGCAGCATCTTCTGTCTCCACGATTGTTATACAACTACATTAAAGTCACAGCCCTCAACCCATGGTTGAGCCCCTTCTGAGCCTAGGTCAAGATTGTTAGAGTGCCCTTTGGTGTTTATCTTGTTAGGTTTTGCTGGCATTAGGTACCGAAGGTTCTTCCAAAATCTGGAATTCATGGGAAGAGATTTATCCTTTTTCCACTTCACGACCCTCTTTGATGGTAAAAGAGACAGCGATTCTGGCAAGAAATTGTAGTCACTTATAGGCATATATTCAATTACTATGATCTTAGTTTTCCTTTCAACTAGCGCTTTATGCAGTCCACTCTCAAGTTCGTATATGGCTCTGTCAGAAATGTAGTTCTGGCTCAGTATAATGATTAATCTTCGGCTTTTCTCAATGAATGAATGAATATCATCAACAACCGCTGCAAATCAAAGACAGATGTGTTATTAAACTATATTGAAAGGATAGGCACTGAATCGACTTATCTTTTAACAGTCGCACATGTACCAAAAATGTACCCTTTATAAAGTGACAGTATGTAAGCATCCTGTCCCTATGAAGAGATTAATATGCATTATAGATTAAGAGTCTGTGAAAATGAGCTCAGGTATGACCAAAGCTTGTTTTCTGGAGTAGACAAAACCTACATACAATCTCCAGATACCTTGGACAGCTATCAGTCAGTAGTCACACGGACAGAAGGTGACAGTAAAATTTATTTTTCCTCAAACCAGACATCTCTTTGCTCTTTAATAATAGATATCATTGGAGTGGTTCCACAGAAAGTCACCAACAGAAACCTCTCTCCAAATATTCAGTAACTCTCAGGTTACTCCTTCCTTTACTTCACTGAATACTCACATCTATTGCCAGTAATAGAAGGTTGAGGAAACGAGCATGTGATGATAGAATGAGTTCAAACTGTCTTTTAGATCCATGACTTTTGTCATGGCAAGCAATGAATGAAATCAAATGATGTCACCCTTCAAACACCCGTGCACCAAATTCATTTGTCATGCACAACTTCTTGTCCTTGCTTCAGCACCATGGGACAATAAGGTCTTCAGAGACCAGAGATGTAGAAAACATGCCTTGAAGGGAAAAGCAGAGCAAACTGCAGTAGAAACATAAGAACAGAAAACTGAGAGGAGAAGGCGGCTGACAAAGGTATTACAACACACTGATAGCTCCTGAAAATAGAAGAAAATACTCCAGTTTTCATATTCACAATGGATCAGACCAGAGAAAAGGAAATAGGCTAAAACTATTGCAAGAAAATAAGTTAGAACTACTGAAAGAATCAGACTGAACACTTTGGAAAGCCTTTTTTTAATTCTTAAGGAGAGAGAATAGCTGGGAAAAAATGGCTTAGGAGAGTTATGGCACTTCTCAGGTTAGAAAAGTATGTCAGGAATGGATACAAGGAGAGAAGATCCTCTCTTGTGAAGGAGGTTAACTGACATTGTTGTTCTGTGCTTTCAACAATGAAATTCTATTCCTCAATGAGATCTTTGGACTAAATGGAATCTCCCAGTATCTTTTTTCCAAGTATCTGCAAAGGGCCATCTACCCATAGGCCACTTAGAGAAACAAAATTCTATGTTCTCATTTCTATTTTGTTATGGCATCCATTACATCCACAAAATGGTTTCGATCACCATACTGAAGATACAGTAAACATACAAGTTACCTGAGAATAGTACGAGAGACAGCAGCTGCTCTGTGCAGTAAATGTGAGTTCATAGTTCATTCATAGGTGCCTACTCTCAGCAAAAGCAGAGCAAGACCACTATTACTAAGAAACACCTGACATCATTTGTGTTCTCACCTTGACTTTCTCCATGCTAGCTCTTTCATCTGTTCATCTTGGTTCTGTGTAATTAAAAATATGTGTGTGTATGTGTGCAGGTGTATATGAATTCATAAATATATGTATAAAATATGTAAAATGTGTGCATGAGAACTTCATATGCACAAAGTCTAGATTAAATGAAAAATGTAGCTGTTCAATGCACAAACGTTTGACAGAATTCTCTCTAATGACAGACTTTTACCTTTGTGTGAAAATGATGTGTCTATTTAATGATAATAATATTCAATACGCTTACCTCCTCCAGGGGATACATCCCTCTCAAATATACATAACTTGTACCCAAAGTTTTCTTCTAATATCATGGGTAGTATCTTCAAAGCAAATTCTCTCTCTTCTTCAGTAGGAGAAATGCAGTCTTTCAAGTAAGACACAAATGCATCATATTCTTTTCCATCTGGAAAGAAATCACCAATTGTTGCCATGTTAGCAATCATTTGAAATACAGTATCTGATCCACCCTTCCAGTTTTCAAAGTTATTGTCTCAGCAGCAAAGCAGTTAGAAACTCCTGCTCTTTCCTTTGATACCGCAAACAGTCTTCAAACAAAAAACATCCTGAATGAATTTAAATTTAATACAAAAGATTCTGATTGCATTTTGCAAGTATTTGAAAATAACATATCCTTTCTACATCAAGGTGTTTTTTTAAAAAATCGTATTAATTTAATCAGTAAATGTCACATCTGTGACGATCAAGAAAATGAAGGGAAGCAAAAAATGTTTCTGTAACCTGATAAGAATGTTATTTAAGTGATATTGCAGATTTCCAGAATTATTTTACTCTTTGTCCAAGACTATCAAGTAGTTTTGTAGAATGAGTACTGGCAAAAGAGAATAAATCAAATTATTATTTTAACTATAAGCATATACCATGTCTGGTCATGCTTTGGGCAGTAATTTACAAACACAAAATCCAAGACCAATTCAGAGGTCAGGTCTACCACATTAAGAGACACCTAATTGAACCTTGACAGTGAACAACTACCTGGGTTGATACGGCAGTGCACATAGCTTTGCATCTTGAACTGTACTTCTTTGCTTCCCTTTCCAGATACTTTGCTACATGTAGTTTAGAAAAGACAGCACAAACTCAAGCCCATTAAACTCTACCTATGCAAGAGCTCTATGAGTAGGAAATCCATTGCCAAGTACCAGACAATCAGTTCCTCCGGGGCGGCCTCGGCCAGGTTCTGGGAGACCCTGCCTGTAAGCCAGTGCATGCAGTGATAGCTAACATCAACAGATAAATAATCCCGGCAGGCATAAATGACATCAACCTATTACTGAGAAATCTCCAAACACTGCAGTTTATTCAAACTATATTCAAGCTGATTTAAAGACTAAGGAGGGCTAAGAAAATCAAGTACATATATTCAACAAGTTTTTTTCACCACAATTTTCAGAAAAATTATACCCGGATTGGGTAACTGTCAGGCTTGCTCCTTAAGTCGAGATCACAGCAATGCTGTCTGGTAAGATACTGGTAGTGTGCTCTCCTTGAGTGCATTTATTGACAAACCTATAAATATTGAAATGGCCTCTACAATTAAGGAAGCATTTTAACCTTCACCTCACTGAAAGGCATCCACTACCTGGTCCAGAGGCAGCTTCTTCACTGTGTTTATCTTCTGTTACTGCCCTGGGTGTATAACAAACTCACTTTAGCACTCGACCACCAAGTTCTCTTTTACATATTCTTTGCTGTTTCTACTCACAAAAGTACTGGATTTATTTTCTCCCCCTCAAAGATGATTGTTTTATAGAACCTACCAGAAACAATATTTTAATCAATACATTTATTCCAATGTCAGCATTAGCCAAGTCATACCTCCAGCAGTGTCGTCTCTTCTGCATATGTTCCTGTAAAATAGAACTAAGTCAATTCTAAACATCACACAGACAAACACCGCAGCTACAGCAACACATGGAAATAGTACAGCAAGGACCATTCCAGCTGTAAATATGTGCACAGGAAGATCTTGGGTGTTCCCTGTAAAACAGAAACCCAGGAAATTACGGCCTTAACAAAGAATACATATGACAAGATTACTGTATTCAATACTGATGGCATGTTAAAATCACTCCCTAAACTCGAAACATTGATATGAATCCTTTCCTGCTAACACTTCAAGCACATGTGTGTTGTTTGTCCTGAGATGGAGAAAAGCTACAGAACATGGATTACTCCAAAAACTGGAGAAACAATCTTGCACACATTCATACACCCTCCCCACACATAAATGAACCGTGTGTGGGATCAAGATTGACACTACAGATCCTCATAGATGTACAGTGGTCCAAACTGGTGGTCATCCACTTTTACAAGGAGTTTTCTTCAGCTTCTTTATTATTTCCTGTTATTCTCTACCTTTCATCCCTTTCTCAGTCCATCCATAATAGTCCTTAATGTCCCCTTTAATCATTTTGGTCAAGAACTTTTTTTTTAATTCTGCCTCTAGTCTCTTTCAGGCTTTTTTTTTTTTTTTTTTTTTTTAATTATTATTCTGTTATCTTTGTCTTTTCAGTTCCAAATACAGATTTTTAATCCTTAAATCTCTGTGAAGTCTTTATGAAGACACTGTCAAGTCATGCTCATTGTAGTCTGTATTTCATTTGCTTTATTAGATGCATCATCTTTTGACTAGTCTATTTTCACATATTTCCTCCTAGTAAAGCTTGGGAAGGTCTGAGAGAGATGAAAAATAAGAAGGGAATGCCCATTTGCCATGAATCTCCAGACTGTCTGGACTGTAAATGTGAAGCACTACTATGTGGTAGATGTCTGTTTTCCATGGCTAGAAGGATAGAGTCCTTAACAAGAGAAAAATCATCAACAGAAATATAAAAGGAATATAAACCATCAGAAATATAAAAGATTAACTTTTCCAGGGAAAAACAAACAAACAAACATACAAAATGCTTCACATACATCCAAAAAAAAAAAAACCCAAAACCATAATAACCAACCAAAACCTCAGATTTTAATTTTAGAAAGTGCTGCTTAATAAACAAAGTGATCCAAACAGCAAACTCTGGGCTACACCAAGTTTTGGGTAGTTAGCCCCTGTGATCCCACCAATCTGATGAGCAGAACAGCAGAGGGAATGCTCTGTCACGGGATCTAATAAAGTGCTCTGTCAGACAGAGCATAGCTCAGCCTCCCCAGCTGTGTCCATGGCAGCACAGGTTGAACTATGGAGCCCTCACATAGCTTCTCCAGTAGACACAGCAGCAACCCCTGCTGCCTGTGTCTCAGAGCAGGAGGAATCACTCAGGGAGTTGTTAGGTCCAGCGCTAGATGGACCAGGTCCTTCATCAGCACACAGACGTATTTGGAGAGATGTTCTGAAATCAGTACCCTGCCCTCAGGATTGAGAAGGCTGGCATGACTAACAATTACATATGAGAAGTATGAGTCATAGATTACACTGTACCTTTCTTCAGTTTCACTATTTTTATTTGTGTTCTTTCATCAGCTTGCAACATGCAGGTGAAATTATGAAGCATGTCCTCGTCTGTTACTTTTTTAATCCGAAGTAGCCTTGTGACATAGAACTTGTTTCCCAATCTGCAACAAGGAATGGTGTCAGTAACATTATCTGTGCAGAAACCTGCAACCAGCTCTGGGAGGCGGATTTTGAGGAAAAGTTTCTAAAATAACCCCAGACTGAGGTTTTACTGAATTTGCAGTTCCACAAAGTGCAGGACATTATAACATACATATAAAAGTGCAGTATTTTCAGGAAACCTACTGTAATTTTTTGAACTCTTCTTCACAGATCGAAGGTTCATTCTCAGGAATACCTGTGCATTTTTCTGGAAATGTTTGATTAATCAACCAGTAGAGGCTGGCATCTTCTCGCATATGATAACCCAAGAAACCTGTGCAATTGAGTATCTCTTCTCTACCTAAACAAAGCATAACATAGAGAAGATCTAGTCAGAAGGAGCATTCATGTTCACAGTGCGGTAAAATGTCAGCTTTTCAGGCAATGTATCCCATGAGCTATGCTTCTTTCTAGACTGTTCCTGCGTGATGTTTCATAGGTGTTCTACCTGCACTGGCGGTGGCTTCAGCAACCACGCACAGGGCTCTGTTGTACCCTGTTGCAGAGTGACAGTCATCCACTGCTTTGTCTCAAATAGGCTGTCACAGACAGAAGAGTATAAATAGGCTGGAGAATTTCAGGCTTTAGAGAATTAAAGGGAATTGGGCTCGACGATCTTTGTGGGTTCCTTCCAACTTCAGATATTCTATGATTCTATGAACTAGACTGTGCTCTACAGGCAGAGAACAGGAGAGGACAACCTATCCTCAGTGTCCCAGGGCCAGGTAAAAGTAAGTAATTGGTAAGGGAAATTGCAATCAATTTATTATAATAGCTAAACTATATGCTACTACTCAATAAAATCAAAACCTGTTAGACTCCCTGCTGAAGTCTCACAGAAGAAATTCTCATTCCAGCACCATGCTTGGAAATCAGTATAATCTTGAATATGTGAACAAGTCATGTAGTAAGTCAGCTACTTTGTACCCTTTCAAAGCACTAATTGGAAGCCACAGAAACCACCACATAGAGTCCAGTTAATTATAAGAAAGAGTAAAACTAAAAAGACAACTGTATACTTGGAAAAATAAAAGCAGAATTATGCAGCTCTGAAGTGTGAGATTTGATGATTTGCAAGGCATTTTACTTTAAACATTGTCACAGGAAGCCTGACCTGAGGTTAGCTGCAACTTTACACCACCGTTTCTAGGCTATGCCAGCATCATTTCCAGGGAACACATCCAAAACACCCTTTATTAAACCACAAAAGACACATGTTAGTTCTTGTTCAGGCCATTATGCACAAATGCTTCCCAGTAAGTGATGCCTGCCCAGGAGTTCTCTAGGGGCACACATTATAAGCTGACTTCTGAAGATTTGTCAAAGTGGATGCTTCCAGTAGAACTGGTTAAGAACATTTAAAGCAGGATCCAGCTGAAAATCTGCCCATCTTAGATTTGGACCTTAGAGATCCAAATCACAGTTGGACAGATTGAAATACAGGCGTAAACTTCTAGTATCACCTAACTTGCAACTCTAGCTTTTTCACCATACAAAATAGTTATTTTCAGGGAACTGTTATAGAACATCATCTAAACAATGGCAGGTTTGAAAGACCATGGACATAGCTCACCCAAAAATCCCTTCACTCTCCACCATGTCATCTGTCTTATCCCTCAGGAGGTAGTTCAATGACCTTATCAAAAGATCTTAGCAAGGCAGATAAAGAATAGAAGATAGGTGGTCCATAATCATTTGATGCTGAACCCTACTACCTTCTAAGGGTTGGGACAAGCACAGTAAGTGGGAAGAACTGTGCAGGAAGGGTGTACTGGGAGGCTAGGAGACACGAGGCATCATAGGATTGGGGTACTACCATTGGAAAAAGGACCTATCAACTGGTATTCGTAGGAAGGAAGGAAAATTAGAATCTAAGGTCCTGGCTGAGTAAATAAGATGTATGTATGAGCAACAGAGGAGGTAAATATGATTTTTCAGACTTGGAAAGGAAGGACTAAGTAACCAGGTGGGAGAAGCACTCAGGCACAGGAGAGGAAAAAGAGAAGTAAATTTCTGTTTTTAAAAATCAATTACAGTCTCAGTCGCAAAATCCTACATCCTGTCCAATACTGTGTGAAGCCTGCAGGCCATGTTATTTAGAAGCACAGTTAAGGTCTTGGCTTTTGACAATATATACAACTCTTTGCAGCAGTGATAGATCTGCATGCTTACATTTCCAGGACTGTCAACCCTCACACTTCTCACTTCCCTGCAGAATAATGTCCTCAACTGTATCAGGTATTAAGGGAATTACTCATTATCGCTGTTAGCTGAACAAACTAGATATATTTCACACATGGGTCCGTGAGGTTTGCTATCTACAAAAGAAAGCCATGGAGAGATGGTTTATCATTACCACCACTTTCTCTTGCTGATCATAGCAACAACCTTAGCTTCTGCCTCTGTAAAAGGGTACATTCAGTGTACTTGTATATCAACCATGGAATACACTAGGCAAAACATAATCAGATGTGAGGATGGATCAGATTCAGGCGAGTGCGCAGACAGTTCTCAGTTGAATTACACTTAACCAGACCATCAACCATAAAGAGATCAGAACAAAAGCATATATATGCAGTAGCTAACACAAAAATTCTTGTACTAATTTGATACCTATTTCTGTTTCAATTTCTTCATCACGTCCAACTATCTCCAAAGTGACAGCCTCTGGTGCATCTAAAATAGAAAGAACTATTGAAGTAATATTTTACTTATATTCTACCACAATAAAAATCACACATTTGCTTTATTTCTAAAACTAATCGCATACATTCCATTTGATTCAAAGAACAATATCTGGACTCTAACACTACTGAGTAGTTTAAAACACAGTATGTCCTCTTGAATTTTTGCATATACATATATATACAGTACGCAATATACAATTGTCCGAAAGGTTCTTCCCCAAAATTCTTAGTAAGTTTGTATGAATTACTTATAGCAGCTAATTTTTTAAAAAACAGACAAACAAACAAACAAACAAACAAAAAAACAACCTGCAGGGAAAATATACCAAATAAATTTTCCTAATTTGGTGATATATCATATAAACAGCTTCTGCTGCTGCTTTTTTATATTTTAAATTATTGCAAAATAGTTCAGATGACCAGATTTGATCACCCTTGTATACATTTATAAAATGAGAACTATAATTACAAATCTCCACTGTAAAGAGAACCAAAAGGCACACTTTAAAATTTTAGAAAGCTTTCTTACCTTCTTCTACTATGAGCTTAATTGTATTTGTGCTGTGGTATATCTTTCCTTCATGACTGATTAAAATTTTACAGGTATATATCCCAGAGTGCTGTACTGTTAAGGTTTTAAAATCCAATTCTCGCTCTGTTTCGTTTTCATAATTCTCACAGTCCTGCACCAATAAAGACAGAAAATACTATTCCGTAGCAAACAATACATTCAAAATCTTAAAGAAATTAAAAAAAAAAATTTGAAACGAAGTGTCACCATCACTCTTTCACTATCTGAGTTACATTTATCTGACCCAAAAGTGATGGGGACCTAATTTTCAGTCATGGTCACTTAAATTTGAACATTGAACCCATCAGAATTTGAGAGCACTGCAATTCCAGGTAAGTATCTAAGTTTAAAAATATTATATCAGGAATTTAAATGCACTCATCTATTTTTTTCAAAATGATGGCTAGACTCTGTAGGTGTCACTTGCTTGCAGCCAAAAGTTTTCTAGACCTATGAGGAGCTGTCAGGTTAAAGCAAAAAGCCTCAACAATGAAGAAAGTGACCATCTCAGAATGTGACAAGAGTTGGACTCACATTAGTTTACTCTCCCTATCCCCCAAAATAAACTGTTGTTCGTGGTGTTGGGTTTTTTTAATTCACAGAACATGCTAAGTGGAATGTCCTGTGAAAACACAGAAATATCTGGTTCTGTTCTGAATTACCTTAGATCAAGAAGCGAAAAGATCACTGCTGGAAATTGTCCAGGGAATGGACATTTCCTGGATGCATATGCTTACTATCAGGCTCTTACACAAAAAGCATGTGTGACCATCCTTGTTTTATCTCAGCTTAGGGTGTGATAAGAAGGCTTTGAAAATATTCACCAAATCAGGCACCAAAGAATAATTAGGCACAAGGATGGCTGCTGCATCTCTCTCACGCAGTATTAGACATTAAAATATTAGGCATCGATATACTCAGCTTAGCCATGGGAGAGTTCAGTCTGGGGTACAGTGCTTTACTGAGGAAAACGTATACACTTATGGCCCTATCCATCAATGGTCCTTCCCTCCCAGGCCCTGAAGGGCAAAGAACCAGGACTGTGGCTCATTCTGCCAGGCAGAATCCAGATGTACACATTTAAGCTGTCAAAATCCTGTCCTGAAACTGATTCAACACGGAGTGAACCGGGTCTGTTATTACAACCAGAACACCTGAGAGGAATAAGGAGCACTGGTCAAGGCGATGCATAGGGACAGGGTGGAAGAAAGCTATTCAAGGTGCTTCATCAATGGTTGAGCACAACATTCAACAGTCACAGGTGCTTACACAACTATCATCTGTGCTCTGACAAAAGCTGGTAGAGAGAAGATCGATGATTTGCCTGAAATGAACAGAACTGGATCTGCTACACATTTTGTAAAAAGTGCTCAGAAACAGCAAAATTGAAAAGTTTGCAATTACTTTACAAGCACACGCCAACAGTAAAACAAATATCTTGGCACCTTCTTTAGTGTCAGGATAATATCCACATCAGTAAAGTAGCAACTGTCTAAACCAGCTGCTGGCTAAATCAGAAAACAGATTTTTTATCATTCCAAACTACCAGTTTACTAATAATTTCTGATTACAGGTACATTTTTCTAACAAATCTGAGAGCAGAGAAAAACTTTCTTTTGTATATCTGTCTAAAGGTTTTTGTCCTAATAACCTAAAAAATTAGAGCTTTACTAGGTTTGTAGATGCTTCTAAAAATTTGTTTGTAATTAATTTTTCCTGCAATCAGATGTTTAGTTTCTACAGCCAATGATGTGAGTGACACTGTTTCAAAAATTACCTTGTACCATGTTACGCTGTCATTTTCATTGACAGACAAATCACTGCATTTCAGTGAATGACCAGTTCCAGCGTTTTTAATTTCTGTAGTTAAATGATTTATGTTGAAGCAGCTGCTTTTATTTCTTTCAAGTACATTCAAGGTCCACTTTTGAATTGTGAAATTTTGTTTTCCGTTGCTATGAAAAAAAAAAAATCAGGAAAATCAGTTTTAGGAGCTTTTAAAAGGAATGTAACTTAGAGAGTTACGCGGCAAAATACAAATAAATTCTCTAACATGTCTGTTAGGTAAAAAGTACATCTACAGTGACCTAATTATTTATATTCCCCTTTATTACTTTTCCACCCCCAAATAATGTCTTATTTCCCGTAACCAAAGAGGTTATCTAAACTAAATCATCTATCACAAAATATTTGACAATACAATTATATCTATGAAACATGACGATATATGCTATATCAACTGGAACAAGGATGCGACAATCTATGGCATCATGTACAGTTACAAGTGAGCATAAAAGAGATTTGGGAACTTGAATCAGCTAGTGATTTAGAAGATTTAATCTCCTATGCCTTGCTAAGATTTAAAGCAGTAACTGAAAAATATATTTGGAAAACATCAAAAATAAGATGAGCAACTCTGCTATTGTTCACAAAGCAACATAATTCATTGTTTGATACTGTGCAGATAGTCACTGATATTTTGGAAATATGTCTAAACTACACAAGCCTCATGAATTACAGAAACACTTAAGGATTCAAGTATGCCTGCAAAACAAGGCATTTAGGAAAAGATTCATCTCTTTGTCTTTCAGCCTGCACTGATCAGAGATCTACAGTAGCTGGCCACCGCAGTCTACTGGGGTGCACTCCTAAGCAGTATTTATAAAAGATCAGGTGGATATGCTTAAAAATGCCTCTTTTGAGTATCTCAGAGCAGAACATTGTCATTCAGATATCTACTATGTTAGAATCATAGAATCATAGAATGGTTAGAGTTGGAAGGGACCTCAAAGATCACCTAGTTCCAACCCGCCTGCCATGGGCAGGGAAACCCTCCACTACACTAGGCTGCCCAAAGCCTCATCCAACCTGGCCTTGAACACCTCCAGGGATGGGGCACCTACAACTTCTCTGGGCAACCTCTTCCAGTGCTTCACTACCCTCTGAGTGAAAAATTTCTTCCTTATATCTAATGTAAATCTGCCTTCTTTCAGTTTAAATCCATTGCCCCTTGTCCTATCACTACACGCCCTTGTAAAAAGTCCCTCTCCAGATTTCCTGTAGGCCCCTTTTAAGTACTGGAAGGCTGCTATAAGATCACCCCGAAGCCTTCTCTTCTCCAGGCTGAACAGCCCCAACTCTCTCAGTCTGTCTTCATAGCAGAGGTGTTCCAGCCCTCGGATCATCTTTGTGGCCCTATATGTTCTATCCACATATTCCTCTAAAGAATCAGATTATACCTGTGAGCTATTTCATTGCTGATTATGTCCAAATACACGATTACCAAGAGAAAAGAAGCTGGAGAGCTTTTGGCTGAAGTTTGGCAAAGCTGGCCTAACTTTGACAAAGTTAGGGCTTAAGAGCAAGTCGTATGCTGCTGTAAGTTAATGGGTGAGATTTTGCATAAAGCTCTCATTTTTTACTGAACAAGTAGGATCTGACAAAACAAAAACAGCAATCACAGGGCACTTCCCTCCAGTGTCAGCCATATATTCATAAATATGTTTGAATCTTTCTGTCTCCAAGAAAAGAAAAGGGAATCGTTCCCAGGAGAATTGAAACTAGTCAAGAATCATGAGAAGGGCTAAGGGGACGAAGCAGTTGAAATGGAGAAGTGAACCTGATGAGTGTATCAGCTTAAACATCATTCTTGAGTGACACGCCTTTTACTGTTACAAGATGCAGAAGAACTATTAAGATATCATTTAGATGATGAATTTAGACCAATTTTTGGTTTGGTTTTTTTTCCTCTTTTCAAGATCCCCAAACAGATGTATTTATGTATTTTGCTCACTCTCTTTGCATTGTACCCCTTTTTCAGCCTACACAGGTTCTCCTTGTTCTCCTCACTCACTTGAGTTATTCATTACTCATAATTGCAATTAACTGTCTAAATCAAAACATAGTGGTTTGGTTTCTCAGTCAGTTAACTATGGTGTCATAAACAGGAAAAATCTTATCAAAACTTTTCCGTCAAAGATGTACTCACATGGGTATTCACGGTGGGTGGAGTCCTTCTCACCTATTCTTCAACATCACATTTACACATTTAAATCAGAGCTACTACTCACAGTCAGCAGTTGGACCACAGTCAACAATCACCCTTTTAGAGTGCAGTTTATGTGACCCGTTTTATGTTTGGTTTTGGACAAGATCATCTGTGCCCCAGAAAGGCCTCTCATTCTCCCTGACAGTAAAGGTACCTAAGATAAGTTTAAGCGTAGGTATAAACATTAGTTTCAATTAGTTCCATCGACTCTGTATGTTTCTTTAGGCATTACACTAGTATCTGAATACTGCTGGAGAGGCAATTATGGATCTAGCCATAAAATGCATACGATTTTGTTATCTAGATTTGATAGATGGAAGGAAAGGAACAATAAACCCACATGTTCTCCTCAGCACTGTCACTCCACAGAGGCTCTCTTCTGTGATAATATTTGGCAAAAACAGTTCAACAAATACGATGATTTCACCCTAAGTGGATCAAGATACTTTACCTGATGAGCCAAAATCTGACAAGGGCCAGTTCCCTGGAAGGTGACAAAACCATACCTATGCAAACTAAGATTAATTTTTCTTACATAATTTCTAGTTGTCTGCCATAGACGTGATTTGCAGAAAAAAAAAATAAAAAGCATTAAGTTGTATTGTTTAAACTGCTAGTGTCTGAGTTGTTATATTTCTATCCTGGTTTTTCACTTGCAGAGATTCTTTAGTGATATTTTTGGGGGAACAAAACCATTTCTGGCTTAACAGCCTTTCAACTCTCCCCTCCAAACCCACCAAGAAGGAACAAGATCTAGCTTGACTCAGGAGAGGATACAGGGAAGTGAAAGCCCTTAGGGAATATAAACCAAGTTTACTGGATACATAGCCAACTCTAAGTCATCTCTTAGTTATTCCACTGCAGCAAACCAGTGTTATCTACTTCAAGAAACTGTCACACTGCCTTCCAAACTACAATATTAACTCTAAATGTGTGTGTTCCCACTACTTTCAATTGTTCTAAACACATAGAAAGAGTGAGTACTATTAGGATTTTAAAATGTATCATGTGTTTATCATGGATCTTTGCACTTTCATTTTTTTCGGGAACCTGTAAGTTCTCTCAGTTTCAAGATCACCAACACAGATCGATCAGATGACCTGCTTTTTTGTATTCTGTTTTTTTCTTTGATAACCACAGGATACAGTGCTATGAAAAAAACATACAAATCAGAAATTCTGCCAAAGATGTGTGACACAGTTTTTCTACTTACCACTCTGTCGTGGTTTAGCCTGGCCAGCAACTAAATGCCACACAGCCACTCACTCACCCTCCCCCACCCCTAGGGAATGGGGAAGAGAATTAAAGGGAAAAAGGGGATTTGTGGGTTGACATAAGAACAAATTAATAATACTGATACTAATACTAATAAAAAATGAATATATACGTATAATGATAATAATATATACAAACAAGTGGTGCACGGTATAATTGCTCACCACCCAGTGACCAATGCCTGTCCCGTCCCGGCAAGCGATCCCAAAACAGATAAGTCTCTACACCACTCTGGATGAGTGAGAGGCCCAAAAGGAGAGAGAGAAAGCACTCCGAGAGTCCGAGAGTGAGAGCCCCCGGAAGAGCAAGAGCACTTCTTTCTAGTCAACTCCCATCTATATACTGGGCACGACATTGCATGATATGGAATATTCCATTGGCCAGTTTGGCCCTCAATCCTAAATCTAAGTTCGAATCATAAGAGGAGTTGTGAGCCCTCTGTCCCAGCCATGCTTCCCCCCAGCCTGTTGTGCTCCTGCACACCGGCAAGAACACAGCAGCTGAAAAGTCCTTGAGGCCTCAGTGCCAACTATAAATATCAGTGTGCCATTAGCACGCCATCAGCGTTCTTCTCAGAGCAAATCCTGTACTAAATGCAAAACACGGACCTCTTCTAGCTGCTAAAAAGCAAAACTAACTCTGCTCCAGTCAAAACCAAGACACTTTCCTGCTACAAGTGCGTATGAAATCCTTTATTTTCAAGAAATGTTGCTGAAAACAGACACACTCAGGCTTACAGGTGATGTCTGTTAATTCCTGACTTTATATCCTAAGTCTGCTACACTAATAAATACACATGAACATATCAACTCACACGTACACACACATTAGCTATCCATGCTATGTCTCAGCAGAACACTTCTGTTTTAACTGGAAAACTTCTGATTCTTATTTAAGTCAAAAATAAGTGGATTATACACTATAAATACATTATTACATCACTTTCAGCTCTCACTTCTTGCATATTGTCAGTTGTAACATATCAGGAAAAAATCCTGAAATTTAACTGGCTTGCAAAATCTGTCAGCATGTGCTGTCTTACTTTTCTTGAAAATCTGCAGTATATTTAAGTGTCACTTTGTTCACTAAAACTGCCTATACAGTTACAAGCACTCTAAAAATAATTTCCCATACAGCTTACAAATATTTAGCTCTAAATTAAATAGTTGAAAATAGAAAAGATAAACAACAATATACTTGAATGTGTGCTTCTAAAATAAAAAATTTGACCTGTTATAAATGCTTTGAAATGAAACTAATTTGATTCTAATCGCTATTCTTCTTAAATCTTAAAGCAATTCAGTAGCCCGCAATAGTCCACAACTTTTTCCTATCAATAGAGACTACTACAAGTCCTCTGTCTCTGCAGAAAACTATTTCTGCAGATAATCTTCTGTATTTGCTGAAATGTAACTGCTTTAACATGCTTGCCAACAGTGAGAATCATCATATAAACTAAGCCCAAGATCCCATTAAAATCCCATGAAAAAAATTCACTTATGCCTATTGTTCCAGCAGTGACACTTACGAAGAGTTCCCACATGAGGACTGCAAGATTCTGGCATGTGCCTTTTTTTTGATCCTAACAGAAAAATGAGTGTCTGTATGAGCCTAACAGAAAGAATTTTTGGAGAAAACAAAAAGTTGTTTCAGGTGATCAAAATATATTATTTTAATCAAGAAACTTTTATTTTCAAAATAGAAATGCTTTCTTTCAAAACTGAGTTTTAAAATGTAGTAGCATAATGTAGTCCCAGAAAATGAAACAAAAACGCAGAAAATCAAAATTCTTAATCCCAAATTAATGCTTCGATGTAATCAAAATCTTTCTTTTGAGTTTCTTGCTTAAACAAATCAGCAAATCAAGACATTTCACAAAGTATTCAGACATTTTTATACTTTCCAGCAAAAGTTTATTTTAATGAGCTTCATCCTAACAGTTTAACTTTAGGTCTTTTTCTATCATCTCCTTCTTCTATATGTAAAGCTGTTTCCCTCAGTTTTGGAGTTTATGTTTTTTCCATATTCATTTTACAGAGTTCTTGTAATTTACAGTGGATTTACTATCATGACTTCAAGTCCTTAAAATAATCACAAAACCACAAGGATCGTGAATTAAGACTGAGGTTATCACAGCTTTCCTCTCTTTTATTCCTTTATTTTAGACTCCTTATGACAACCTCCTTCAGTAGCCTGGTGATTCAGGAATGCTCTCTGCCTATCCTTCCCCACACCAACGTAAGTCAGAGCATGCATTTTATACCACTGGTTAGGTCCTGGCAGTAGAGTAAGTTGTTAGATGTAATAGCTTTTTAGCACCACATTTAGTGAAGTGACCATATAGACGACTGATCAAGGCGATTAATAAAGCCAAAATTTAAAGCCAAATTCAGACTTGATATGAAAAGTACCGGTCCATGACAACAGACAAGCCTATGTCAGGTATTACCTAACGTTAACTCCTACTCACCAAAACCGAGCAGCTGGCTTCACCTGTGCTGCTTCAGACAAATGTCTGTACTCAATAACAAACCACCTTTGCACAACCTTGCACAACAACGTGGTCCAACTATCATACTCATCACCCCTAAAGACAATTCTCTTAATACTGGGTTCAAATACATGAGTAAAATTTTTCTAAAGCTTTACTTACTATTTGGATAAAGAGTCATCTACAATCAAAAAGAAATCATATAAACTCAAAAGAAATATTCTACTAGGAGACATTTCATTTATAGTATTTAGCATTTTAGATACTGTGACTCCGTACTTTTTAAAATAATTTTAGTAAGATGATAATAATAATGATACATGGAAAAATAAAACATGAAGTTTTCAGCTTCCAAGTTAAGTTGGAGGTTAATAATTAAGTCTAGCTTAAAACTGTAAACTATGGACTTGTGTCTGTGATGTTACTGGAGAAATGTGGAGAGCATTTTTCAGTATCCACAGTCCCATAACCTTTTTGAAGCAGGCAAGAACTTTAAAAATATTACCTAGAGAACATAACGAATCACCATATGCAAAATAATCTGCCTAAAATTCATTATTGCTTCAATTGCAAATGCTGAATTACAGTTTTGGTGTAAGTTAGTCATAAGAACCCCAAGCAGCAAATCTTTGATTTAGTCCTTCGATCTTTAATGGTGATCTAACGAAGACTACTGCCAAATAATTGAGGCCTACTCTTATTTCTGCTTTTGACTCATGATGTTCTACAGTGGTAAGAAATCAAAGTCAATGATTTCATTTGTTCTTTGAACAGCTCCAAGCATGCAAAGGTTTGCACGGAAATCAGAGTTCAGCTATGCTACTCTTTTTTTATTACTTTACTTTACAGTTAGTTGACTTGGCAGACCTCATAGCATGAAATCTGCTCAACACAGTAAGGGAGAAAAAGTCTGGTGGAGAAGACAAGCAAATGTTTCCTTTTGCTTGGCAGCGGACAGAAAGGCTGCCTGTCACTCATTTTGCTTAGGTAATTAATCACAAACCAGCAGAAATGCTACCTGCCTTATCAAAAGGTTTACAGAACCTTTAAAAGGCTGCAACCATCTATAGCTATTTGTAAATGTTATAGGACTGCCTGGGTGGTTGTTTTGAAACTCTGTGGGAAATGACACCATAGTTAATGTAGTTCCCTGCACCTCCTTTGTACAGATGCCACTAGCAATACAAAGCAAGACAAAGAAATTAGCTTCTTCACAGACAAGTGCAAAGGCAAGATGCTCACCCTCCGGCTTGTGTACCCACCTGTGAGTGACAGAGTAATTCCCAGAGTCACTGAGTTCAGCTGGCCAAAACTCCAGAAAATTCATTTGGGAAACTATTCTGTGTGTTTCCTTTATCAGTTGCTGCTTTCCAGCATTTTCTTTGTACCAGTTTATTGTGTATGCTTCTTCCTGAAAATGTTCTTGCATTGACTCAAGATAACAAAGGAAAAAATATTCCCCTTCTAGCACGTCAATGGAGGCACGAAGGGGACACAACTTCTCTTCAGAGAAAGAGGAAAAAAGATACATTAGGAAGTAAAGTGCTTCTTTCAGAAAATTATATTAGCCTGACTTTAAAAGTGGTTTGCTGTGCTGCTGGTCTTTTACAAAGTGACTTTCTTTCAGTAGAGTGGTTTGGCAGTATTTCTTTATTCCAGCAATATTTACTGGAAAACTCAGTTTTCCAAGTCTTTATTCTATTTCAACCAAGCAAAACCAGAAGGAAAAGGGCCGTTAAAAAAAGAGAGACTTTTCCCTAAGATTCTTTCATAAGAGTCCAACAGTGTCAAAATTAAATGGGTACGAATTGCAGAACTTGGCCTCACTCTACAGTAAAGCAGGTGCCACAAATGGAAGAGGAAAGGAGAAATTCTTCATGTATGGTTTGACTTGTTAAATACGGCTAATCCTCAGAAGGGTCAATGCTTATAAAAGCAGATATCCTATTAATTAACATTTGCATTTTCTTATCTTCTTAATTAATTTTCTTATCTTCATTATGTAGCTAGATTTCTTAAAAACTTGAGATATATTTGGGAAAGTAGCTTTGGAATGAGATTATGTGTGCAAAATTTAGTCTCAAAATCTGCTTTTCAATCAAATTTCCCAAATGTACCATTGCATACAGAAGTTGTAAAAAAAAGAGAAAAGAGACTGTAGTCTAGCATTAATAGCAAGAATGAAATAAGCCTTCCATCTCTACTTCTCCTGAGGTTCTCAGAGATTATTGTTTTTTAGTAATTATTGCAACCACACTTCCGAATGGCCCAAAAAGAAGCAGACTCATTCTCTTCCTTGTTGTGGCTCTTCATAGAGCCATGCTCCCATACAACATCATCAGGTGTCTCCAGGTAGCAGCTCTACTCTTCTTATTTCATAATTTTGGTATTTTGGGTCAAATTTCCCAATTCTGGAGCTGGTCTGAAATTGCCAAAATCATTAAGACTTTGTTCTTAGCTGCAAAATAGAAAACTTGCCTCATTCTAAGCAACTGTCAAGACAATGGCACATATTCCGCAAATGTTTTGGGTGTTCTACTACCAAAATGAAGATTTATACTTACCAGTGGCAGATTCAGTGATAAACATTAAAAAAATAATTATCATTTTCTTGAGTTGCTTCTCACCTCTTCAGAAAAAATGAAACTGAATTGTTCTTGCTTGTTCTAGAAGCCTAAGAGAAACAGATTCACAATTCATCACAAGTGCAGTGAAACAGATCCCTTTGAGTATGTGAGCAGTGTAACTATTGCTGGTACTAAAGAGGGATTTCTAGATGGAAAATTACACATTTTTATCATAACAGCTATTTTCATACACTAGGTAATGTATCTAGATTTTCCTTGGCAAGTTTATTTTAAATTCAGAAAACACTGCAGAGTTTCCTTCATTTTCTTGTCCACTAGATGTAGTTCACATTTCTGATTAAACTGACAATCTTATAAAAGCACTCAAACTTAGATCTCAAGCCAGCAGACACCTACCACAGGATAGGACAGTGGTTTTTCATCCACAAGGAGTATAAACTTTGCAATACTGGACCTTGTAGAAACAGCCAGTAGAAACTTTCTATGCCTTCAATGAGAACAGCACAATGTTGATAGATTGGACATCTTGATGGCTAATCTTGAACCTGTAGGAAAACAATGAGATCTGCAGTTTTGTCTTACAATTTTGTCTACGGAACCAGTAAGGATCAGCTGAGAGTGCTAACATTTCCACTGAAGGAGAGGAGATGAAGAGGCTCATATTCAAATGCTTCATATGTTGTCAGCTGTGCTTTCAAAGGCAAATGGAAAACACCACTAAAAAATATCAGCACAGAATATCTTCTCTGAGATTCCTCAGAACAGCAGATGAACTGACAACCAAAGACAGAGCAAGTCCTAAGACTGTGCCTCAGCTTTGCTTATCAAAATAGATTAGGTAGATAATAAACTCAGTTCAACGTCTGCAGCCAAGACAGACAACCTTGCTTGGTCACTGACCTAAACATGCATGAACAAATCACGCACACACACATACACACCAGACCTATTTCACAGAGAGCTGCCAGAAGAAATCTTGTTAGTACTCAGTTTCTTTGGTTTTACTACCTAAATCTCTCACAATTTGAGAAAGTACATACTTACTGTTGTAAGAAACTGCCCTGAGATTTAGAGTCAGAAACTTTCCATGATATAAAGCTGCTGGAGGTAGGAGGCTCCTGCATTTCCAGCAATATTCCAGAATCACATCGAACTGTGTAGCTGCTCTCCTTCTCTCACTGTTCTCCCTAGTTCTCTACAAGTATGCCATCATCCCATAAATCACTATAAGGAGATGAAAGAAATGTTTCACATCCCTTTTTTCAGACTGACTGGTAGACAGATCCAGATTTAGGAAGCAGCTAAAATGAGTCAAATGTTGAGTACTGGAACAAGTAACTTTAAAGGGTCAAACAGTAAACTTGCCAGACCTGGTTTCAGTTCCCTTTACACATTGAGATTCTAATTGCTGCACTTTTCAAAGAAAGAAGGGTCTGCCTCTTTATTTTCATTTCTTGAGTTTACTTTTCATTTTTCACCCTATCACATCCAGAAGACATACAGCTGTTACAGACCATGAAACTATGATCCACTACATAATTATAAAATAATTTATCACCACATTTTTAATTCTAAATCTCATTCTTCACTGGCACATCACGGCAGCATATAATGAAAGTTTTATTGAATGCAGAGCAGAGCTCTTCATTCTTTTAACAGAGATTAAACAATACATTATAACAAAAGCTACTTAGTAATAACCAGGTTTGAGATTAGTGGCCACTATAAACAAGCAAAACACGAGTTCTTAATCTTACTCTTACATTGCTGTTGAACCTGATCAGTTTGTCTGAAATCGTTCTACTCTATGCTAACAGTATTTACATTTGAGCCATATGGTTTGTAGCACTCTTTGGTGAAATGCTAGGAAGGGGAAAAAGAGGGGAAAATCAAGATAAATGGTTTTGGTGAAATTCAACTAATATCAAGCTGTTCTTCAAGAACAGAATAAGATTTTTAATTTTCAGTGAGAAATAGAGAGTTATTTAAAACTAAAGGCAAAAATTCTCTGCCTAATAAAGGAGAAATATTCAATAGGCAAAATGCTAAGGCAGTAGTGGGGAATGACAGTTTCAACTAAAAAAGTATCAAAAAATCAGTTTTCTGTAAGGTCCAAAGTGACAATAGCTTCAGGTATGTTTTTCAAATGTCATACATGCTTAAAGCCGCTGATAGAATTCTAATAATAAAAAATGATTCTTAAAAATCATTGTGCCATTGTAAAGCCAGCAAAATCTTTAAACAAACTGAAGGTTTGAGTTCTGTAAACAGCATTAATGACATCTTATGAACTAGACAATTGTTTGTATTTAAGCATCTTTATAACTATTCCTTATTTTCCTAGAACCGCTAGAAGATTTTGGAATGAAAGGGGGCTGATACATCAAAGTGATCCTCAATTTTGGCAAAGTAACTCTTTTTGATCAACACTTCTGGAAACATGAATTTGGTCCTAAAGGGCTGTGACTTTCTTTTTTAAAACCAACAGATTCTTCTCAACATCAGACTGTTTGAGCAAACATTTTTGGATCAAAGGAAGAAAGTACTAATCTTACCTCTTTAAGATTGGCTTCTTGTGGAATTTAAGTCTTTTTCAAATATCACCACACAGTGCCATTACTTGTGTAGGATTCATGAAGAAAACAAAAGGATCTGGCAAACAGTCGCCTTAACCATACTAGGACCAAGCACCATTTATTTAGTATTATAATTTATTGGTAAAAATGAAAATTCATTTCAAACACATAAGTGAAGTTGTTTACTTACTATGCAAGCCTTGCCAGGTCAAAAGCAGATGCAGAGGTAGACTTCCAAACTCCAGAGAGTTACAACTTGTACTTACAAATCTTCTGAACCCAATTCATCACTGAAACAGAGAGTAATCTCTCTCAGTACGTGAGTCAATACACAGACAGCCCAGTCTGAAAAAAGTCCTGAAAAAAGTCCTGAAAAAAGAAGAGTAGAATTTCTCACTTTGTGAACTGTTGACAGCAGGGAGGAAAAATGGAAAAGATAGATGTGAGAAATTCATCTTTACTAGCATTAACGGAAAGCAATAAAATCGTAATAGCAAATTACAACTATTAACTTGTCTAAATGAGGTATTTGAGACCTGATACACAAATGCTTTAAGCATCACCTTTTGCTGCTACCATCTACAACAGCACTTAAGGAGCGTGTCTTGCTCCAAAGCCACCCAGGTGTGAGGGAAAGGGCCGGGTGTAGCCCAGGGAGGGCGACTTTGCAGTGCCAGTGAGGGGCTGTGTGTCGAAATCAGCCCTTTTCAGAGCTAAATTATTTATGATAGCTCTGTAATAAGGAACAAGTATATCGCGGGCCCGGGAGAGATTAGGAGAGAGATGTTCGAACCAGGAAGCTCGGAGGAGCGCGGCAGGGAAAGCAGGGTTAGGGGGACAGGCAGGGCTGGGGACAGGCAGGGTTGGGGACGGGTAGGGCTGGGGGGGACAGGCAGGGCTGCGGGGGACAGGCAGGGCTGCGGGGACAGGCAGGGTGCCCCAGAGACGGAGTCGCGGTCTCCGGTGCCAC